AAGGAAAAGGCCAGGTCAGTCCAGCAACACAGATGCAAGACGCCTCTGGTTTCCTCAATCACCCAGCAATCTTTGTCGCCCAGCAGTCACAAGTCAGCTCTTCCTTCATTCACCTCTAACTCTGGCTCTATCAGGATACATCTTGCTGAACTCTCCCCAATCAGGTCAGCGCATTCTCGCATGTGAGGCCCTCACAGCTGGTGATGATGTAAAAGATGCTGATGACCAGTGACCCATGTGTCTGTAATTGAGGCAGCTGGAAACCATGTCCCCAGAGGGTGGCTAAGACAATGGATAGAAAAGACATTTTCAAAAGTCCTAACACCATGTATATTTTGTGGCTGACCAAAAAGCTATTCATTTCTGGTGGTTCAAATCACCAAGGCTCCCCAGGAGATGGGCAGCCTCCTCCTGTTGAGATTTGTAGCCTCAGAAACACAATGTAGGGTTTGCTGCGCATTGAAATCAACTCAATTCCACTTGAGTTTGTTTTGAGGTTGGATTTTTTTAGTTTGAACTAAAGTAAAAACCAAGCTCATTGCCAATACCTTGATTTCATGACTTACAGCAAAATCTCCTCTGGATTTCTGAGGCTGTAAATCAATTCATTACAGGAAGAGGCTTCCCATTTTTCCCCTTGGAAAAGATTCAAACTTCTGACCTTTTGGATAGAAGTGCATTACAAAACACATTATGCCAGAACTCCTTTAAGAATAACATAGACCAATATTGTTAATCCAAGGGAACAGAACTGGTAACTCTAGAAATACATCCATACATCTATGTCAATATGTCAGTTTAAAGTCTAAGGTGTAACTAATTAAAAAAAATACATTATTTTCAATTGCTTCCGATGCATTTGAAAACTGGACAATGAATAAGGATGGCAGAAGAACTGGTGCCTTTGATTTTATGGTGTTGGAGAAGAGCACAAATATCTTGTGGACTGCAAAAAGAACACATCTGAGGGATCTCTGGGGGCTTACTGGCAATAAGCTGCAGTGCAATCCCAAAGGTACGCAGTTCAAATCCACCAGATGCTCTGCTGGAGAAGAAGGGGCAATCTCCTCCTATACCAGTCAGATCCATTTTGACAGTACAGACTCAAAAGAGAATAAAATTTTTTTTAAAAACATAATAATACACACGCATGTTTATCGCAGCTCTGTTCACAATAGCAAGGAGTTGGAAACAACCCAAGTGCCCATCAACAAACGAATGGATAGAGAAGCTGTGGTATAGTCACACAATGGAATACTACGCTGCATTGAAAAACAAGGAGCTCATGCAATATTATTCAAAATGGGTGAGCCTGGAGGACATTATGTTGAGTGAAATATCTCAGTCGCAAAAGGACAAATATTGCATGGTGCCACTGCTGTAAAATGGGACTGAAATCAGGGTTAGGGTAAGACTGAGAAAAACTGGATAGATTGTATATACTACCCTGAAACAAATGAGGGAGTGAATAATTTAAAAGTGATATATGATAGGGTATTATGGTTATCACTAGAGTCCATAATTAAGGTTGCATAGTGGAATGTACTTGGGGCCGTGGGAAGGGTGTGGGGGGATTGTGTACCAGGGAGCAAGTGTTTCTTTTACTTTTGAAAGAGAGGAGCGAACTAGGGGGTGGAGGGGGGGAGGGCTGGGCAGGGAGAGAAGTGCAGCAACGAATGAATGGAAATCCAAAATCTCTGTAAATGTTTATTAAAATTATTTTTTTAAAAAATGGAATATTTACTGAAGAAAAAAAAAAGAAGCCAAATCCAAAGGAAAACATGTTAAAAAAATTAATAATAAAAAAGAACACGTCTGTCTTGGAGGCAGTTGTCTTAGAGGCAAGGATGTTGAAACTTTGCCTCACATGCTTTGCCTGTGGTGTCAGAAGTGGCCAGTCCTTGGAAAAAGATCTCATGCTGGGGAAGGAGGAGGGCCAGAGAGAGAGAAGGGCCTTCAACAAGACGGACTGACATAGCAACTGCAATCACGGGCTGGAGCTTATGAGATTGTGAGCATGACGCAAGTTGGGGCAACCCTGTTTATAAGGAGGCCATGAATTGTATTTGACTTGATGACATCTAATAACACATCAACTGATTTCTGACAAGAGGGCTAAGTCTATGCACTGGAGAAAGAGGAGCCTCTTTAACAAATGGTGTTGAGGCAAAAGGCCATGTGCATGCAGAAGAATAAAGCTGGACTTACACTACACACCAAATAACCAAAAAGAACTCAAAATGGATCGTAACTGAAATTAAAGAACCAAGACCTTTGTAAATAAACTAGCTGGTATGTGCCCTAGTCACCTGCAACTCATAGTGACCCTATGTACATCCCTAAACCCTGCTCTATCCTGTGCCAATTTTCTTGTCTCTGACACCCTTTCCCCAATACCCCAGTCATTGAGTCAATCCATCTCATAGAGGGTCTTCCTCTCCTGCCATATCCCTCCAGTCTCCAAGGAGGTTGTCCCTCTTCAAGGACTGCTCTCTCCTTACAACATGTCCAATGTATGTCAAAGCTTCAGAATCCTTGCCTCCAAGAAGCAGCCTGGCTTTGTCCTCTCTAGGATGAACTTGTTTGTTCTCTTAGAAGTCCATGATATATTCAATAGTCTTCACCACAGCTCAAAGGCATCATTCCTCCTTCTATCATCCCTAGTCATTGTCCAGCTTTCCGATGCATAGCAAGTGATTGCAAAGACCATGGCCTGGATCAGGCACACCTTTGTCTCCAGACTGACATAAGTTGCTCTTCAGTACTCTGGCAAGATCTCTGACAGCTGACTTTTCCAATGCAATTCATCTTTTAATTTCCTGGCTGCTGGTACCAAGAGTGTTGATTGCAGAACCAAGCAAACTAAAGCTGTTAACAATCTCTTCACCATCTACATGATGCTGCACTTCAGAAGTTCTCTGTTGATGTGCTGTTCTAGTCATTTCTGGATAATCTTCAGCAGCATCTTGCTTGCATGTGATATTAATGATACTATTCAGTTATTTCCACACTCTGTCGGGTCACTTTTCTTTGGAATAGGAACAAATATAGATCTTCTTGGCACAACCTGGTGAGCACATCCAGGGCAGTGTCTGTTATGTCAACTAGTACGCCATCAACTCCTGTGGCCTTGTTGCTGCCCAGTGCAGAGGTTGAGGCTGAGGGTCAGAGAGAGGCTACCTCAAAGTATGGCTGAAGAGAGGCTGTCCTAATTGAAAGACTGTAGCTCATTTCCAAGGTGAATTGCAGTCTATTCTTTCCCTACTGAATCACCTCGTCATGAGTATTATCTGAGTTCTGTGTGCCCACTGCAACAAATTCATGACCCCAGGAATAGAGTAGCAAGAGTCATGGGATGGTTAGTGTTGGGATTATCAGAAGGTGTGGAACATGGAGGGGCATATATGACTCACAGGAAATCAGTCTTGTGCTATGGACGCTGTTGATGAGATTCTTCTTCCTTGTGAAGACAGCAGAAGTCAGAGGCCAGCAGCCCACGTCCATCACACTGTAAAATTCCCACTTGGGATGTTTACAATTCATTTCTGTGTCCCAGTCATGCTAAGCCATTTCAGGTTCTCCAGAAGGTATCCCACTTCCAGATGCTCTCTTCTGTTTTTCTAGGACACCAACCTATAGCTGCACTTAACACTACAGTAATGGCCAACCCACCAGCTACCATAGCTTCAGAAGGAAAAAATGCCTCATTTCTGTAGCACCACCACTTAACATTCAAGGGGGTCTGAATAAATACTCAGGCAACCTCAGTCTTGGAAAGGATCCCAACATTAATTCTGCTTTTTCTCCAACTCATCCCTTCATCTAATGTCTGTTGACCTCTGTAACAACCTTGTCAAATGCATGTCCAGCCCCTTGAAATCCTCCTACGATAGGAGTCCACTTATTAAAGGTCAACACCAACCAGGCCTCAAGCTGGATGCCAATATTCCACGGCAATGAGCTGACAATCCGTTCTGTCACACATATTTGACAAGGAGTCCAAGGCCTTTTGGGGGCCAAAGCTGGAGGATGCTGACATCCAGAAAAATCACAAGACTCAGAAACAACTGACATAAGGAAAACTTAGGAAAAGATTACAAGAAACAGTCTGGAACAAAAAGCCCTACACCTAGGCTGAAAAGAGACACACTCAACCAAGTTCATGGGCAACCTGTGTGGGCCCCTTTAAGAAAGAAAAGGATATTGCCAATAGAATTGCAGTTAAAACAGCAACCAAAAAAACCCCAAAACCCTCTTTAAAAACAATAAAGTTGAAAACTTTTCATATAGTTTATATGACTGAGCTTTCCTCAGAATTTTCTACCCCACCTCCTGTCTTCAATTTTTTATGTTTCTGAATCTCTGTACAGTGAAAAAGACTAATGGTGTTATCTTGCCTATAGTGCCGATGGAGCGCTTCTTGAAGATAAGGAAGATGAGATTTCATCTCATATATTCGGTCTAAGCTGTCAGGAAGGGCCAGTCCCTGGAAAAGGACATTATGCTTAGAAAAGCGGAGGGTAGGGAAGAAAACCCTCAATGAAACGGACTGACATCACTTTAACAATGGACTTGAATGCAAAAGTTATGAGGATGACGTAGATTGGAAAGGTTTAGATATTGTGACATGGGGTCAACTATTAGTCAGAGTTGACTCAATGGTAACTAACTTACTTCCAGAAACATATAAGACAAAAGAGAAAATGCAATTAAAATAAGTTATTTTATTGAGGGAAGCAAGTTATTTGATGCCAGTTGGCTCTAGACAAAGGGAAGAAAGTCTGTCTTGGTCAGGTGTCTCGGCAGGAGAGACGACTACTGCTAAAGGCTCCACTAACAAATGCTCAGAATTCTGAAGTCCACCATTTCTTCTAGGACAGAAGTGGATGAGACTTCGGCAGTCAGAGGATCGTGAAGACCAAGGAAGATGGAATCTTTCAATCACCCATCAAGAGTCTTTGGGTCTTCTTTCAGCCAGGGCCATCCAATGGAAACAGAATTCATCTTCCCGACTCATCTGGAGGACTCAAGATTCTCCTTCTCATCTCATCGCCATACTCCCTGCTCTTGGTCCTCTTTACTGCATACTAGAAAATAAAAGGAGAAAGAGAGAGAAGAGACAGCAGATTAAGTCACTAATATCCAAGAGAAGTATTTACAAGTACTTGTAAAAAATTAAAAAGTCCTTTTTTTTGTTACAAAATTCTTAGGATTCTAATATTTCACTTAACCTGAGATTAGAAAGAGCAATCTGAGAGGATCTTTAATAAAATTTCACTCAATACAGCTCAGCACCTAAGTAACTTTAACAAACTTATGAAGGCACAATTTGTGCCCACAGAAAATTACTGCTCCTAACTCAGAACTATAGGAGGGTCTTCAAATAGTAAAGATAGGTGTTACTCCAACACCAAGAGTTCAGGAACTCTTGTGGGGGTAGGACAGCAACAAAGGCCACAACAGTGATAAGTAAGTACAAAGATGGTAAGTGCTGTTGTTGTTGTTAGGTGCCATCAAGTCAACTGCAACTCGCAGTGACCTTATGAACAATGGATCTGAACCTTGCCCAATCCTGTGGCATGCTCATCATCTTGGACATACTTGAGCCCACTGTTATAGCCACTGCGTAGGCCCATCTTATGGGAGGTTTTCCTCTCTTACACAGTCTCTCTACTTTGCCAAGCATAGTATCTTTTCCCAAGGACTAGCCCCTCTTAACAACATGCTTCAAGTATGTGAGATGACGTTTTATCATTGTTGCCTCCAAGAAGCACTCTGGTTGCATCTTTTGCAAGACAAATTTGTTTGTTCTTCTGGCAGTATTCAGCACTCTTCTCCAACACCACAAGTCAAAGACATCAATTACTCTGTCATCCTTTATTCACTGTTCAATTTTCAGATGCACAGGAAGTAACTGAAAAAAGACCACAGCTTGGCTCAGGCTCATCTTACTCTTTAAACTGACATCCTTGTTCTTCAGCACTTTGATTTTTATTTATTTTTTTTTTATTTTTTATTTATTTTATTTTATTTTTTTATTTTTATTTTGATTTAACAGCAGATTTTTCCCAAAACAACATATCTTTTGATTTCCTGACTGCTATTAGCCTGAGTGTTGATTAAGGATCCAAGTAATACTGTTGACAACTTCAATCTTTCCTCCAGTGGTGAGAATTTTTTTTCTTGATGTTGGGATGCAATCCACATTGAAGGCTATAGTGTTCTCTTCAAGTTCATCAAGAAAGACTGTGTCATCTGCATATTGCAGGTTGTTGCTGGGTCTTCCTCTGATTCTGATGCCACATTCTTCTTTAGAAAGTCTTAGTTTCTCAAATTATTTGCTCATCAGACTAAGTATAAAGGAAGGCTATAGCACTGACACAAACCTTTCTTGGTTTCGTAACAGTGCTTGACAGTATCAAATTGTGTGCACATAAAAAAAAAATTCACAGCCTTCAAGTCGAACCCAACTGATAGCCTACCCTTTCAGTGGGTTTTCAGAGGCTGTAAATGCTTTGGGAGAAGACTGCCCATCTTTCTCCCTTGGGGCCACTGGTGGGTCAATCCTGAGAGTAGTAGCCTTGGGGTTAGCATCCCACTTCTCTACTGACTTACAGGGAGGTGAAAAAAGGTCCCAAACCAAAATTATTTGAAGACAATTTTTTCAGTATTTCTATTTGTAAGGGTTTCTGATATAAAATATTGGACATACAAAACAGAAAGAGAACTAAATGTCTTTCAAAAGCCCAAAATGCACTCTCAATGGGTTAGGTAGTATTTGAAAGAAAAAGACAATAAATTAGATACGTTAGTTATCTGTCCAAGTCATAGTCTAAAAGAAGATTCAGGGCCTGACAGTCTTAATAATCAAGTCAAAACAGAGTTTTATTGCTTATACATATCACAATTATTAAACAAATTTACAATTTTAAAGCTGTAACGAGCCCAAATCTAACCCTTCTACTTTTACATGTGAGGCGATGAAAGCCCAGTGCTGTATTTACTTGGTCACAGCTACTAGCTAGCTGATCTAAATATTTCTGCTCAACAGAAATTCCATTTTCCAAATCCTAAAACGCATCTAGCTGAATTGTAGAAATTATTACAAGGAAGTTGTTTTTCACTTTTGCGTGTGGCCAAACAGCAGCAATGTCCTAAACCTGTCCCTAGAAGCCAATCCAATTTGCCTGGTTTTAGGTGAAGACACACTTACAAAGTCCACCTTACGCTAAACTATAATTTAGGAGGGTAGATTAATAATAGCAGTGGTACATAGAGTGCTACAATGTTCTGTTCCATTGGTTAACTATATCCAAAACTCTGCATTTGTAAAATATCAATAGTGAAAAACCTACAATCTGACTATTTTTCCCATTACCAGTGGGGCATCCAGGGGTGATGGAGGCCCAGGTGTGAGGTGGGAGAAATGATGAGAGTGATGGTTCTGGTCAGGTGTAAACTTGGCTAGCTATGCATTTTTCAAGGGTTTGGCAATTATGTATTACACAACCAGCCTCCATTTCCACATTGTCAATTTTTAAGTAATAACTCTGGCTAACCATATCAATAAGAGAGAGAACTTCCATTATTTTGACACTTTTCTTACCTCAGTCTTTAAGCATTTCCTCATCTGCCGATCAAGATCATTGCAGTGACCAAAAAATTTCAGGACTCTGTGCTAAAAGGGAAAAAGGGGTTAAATATGGTCAGCTCTGAGCCAGACCGGACTCAACCGCAATGAGAGAAAAGGAGAGAGTGTAATACGCTAACGTGTCCATCACAAACAATTTAAACTCATTCCTAAAGAACAATTGGTTTAATGTGTCCCCTTGATAATAAGCAAACAATAGTTAATCGCATGCATTGTTGTTGTTAGTTGTCATCAATCAACTGACTGATGGTGACCTTGTGCATCAGAGAAGAACTGTTCTACAGGGTCTTCTTAGCTATCATCTTAATGGAAGCAGGCTTGTCCTCTACCATACCTTCAAGTGAGCAGCTAAGCTAAAACACACAAACAGACTTTTTAAGAAGTGATGCCTTTGAGTTATGCCATTGGTGAAGAATCTTGACTATACCATGAGCTATAAGGACAAACAAATCCTTCTTGGAAGAAGTGCAAAGTTAATCTTAGAAGTAAGGAGAGCAAGACTTCATCTCACATATTGCAAACATGATATCAGGAGGAACCAGTCCCAGAGAAGGTTACCATGCTTGGTAAATTAGAGGGACAGAGAGAAAGACCCTCAACACTGCAACAATGGCTCAAGCGCAGAGTGACTGAGGGGGTGGCACAGGACCAGGCAGTGTTTTGTTCTACTGTATACAGGGTCATAATGAGTCAAAATGACTAAAAAATTCCTGCCAACAACCACCACCACGGATCTGCCCTTCCTACAACAGAGCGATGAGTAAACTAAAAGTAGAAAGCAAAAGTAGAAAGATTTTCCCATATAAAAAGGGAGGCTGCCAAGCCAGGAATCACATCACAAAGTCTAAGAAACTTTATCTCCCTAGTATTTCCTTTGTTAAAGGTAACATTAAAATGATAGCAGGAGCCATCCTCGACTGTAGCAATCCTCCAACAGGACAGAGCAGAACCGGCCACAGGATTCCCAATGCACTGCATCTCAACAGAAGCAGACTGCTGTATCTTTCTCCTTCAGAGCGGCTGGTGGGTTGCAAATTCCAAACTTTTCCTTAGCAATGCAATGCTTAACCAGTGTGCCACCAGGACTCCTGGGAGGACTGTGCAGGTCATACAAAGTCACATTCACAGTATATGAAAATCTAACCATAAACTCCAAAATCTGCATTGTTTCAAAAACAAAAATATCCTAGTGGTGTCAGGTCCTATTTAAATTATGAATGGTCCACGGCAGGTGAAGAGGGACACATTTAAAGAGCCTCAACTTTAGTAAGGCCATAATTGGTGTGTTTGCATTTCACCATTTTTAAAGGGTGGGTCAGATCACATGGCAATCTCTGTAATAACAAGCCATAAACACAGAACTAGTAGGTATAATAAGCACATCTTTTCCTTTTCTTTGAAATTAAGGCTTTCATGGAAACCACACAACACATAATTAGTAGGCCAGGTCTCACACAATGCCCCCCTTCCTGCCATTTTATATATACTTTTCTAGTCCACACTGAGTCAGTGGTCAGTTTTTATAGCTGGCATTTACGATGGACTAAGATGTCTTATTGTTTACCCAATGCTCTGTCCAGAGTATGAAGTCTGTATTCTCCCTAAACAAATTCCTCGACAACATAAATAGAGGAGGTGTGTTTTTACACAACTAATAAAGCGGAAATTACAGAAATAGACTTGTAGAATGGAAGGTAACACTTCATTGTTGAATGTACATTATTTCTCATCCCCTACATACATACTCAGGTATTTAACCCAAGACAAAAACTAACTTATGTTTGCAGTTCTTTCAACACAAAATCCAAGTCAGAATTAAACACTCTTGTGACAACACATGAAAAATATGATACATAAAAAGTGCCCCACTGGGAAAACGTTTATGGACTGTAACTTCTTGTAATCACCTGGCCAAAGTCTTTACCAACTGATGTCTACTTCTACAATCAAGCTAACTGAGCAACTGACCCAAAAAAATGAATCATCAGCAGAGAACCTGATACACGGAGGGCACTGTCCCAGACAGCAGATGAACACAGCGGGCAAGGTGGGCCTGGGTCCTATTCTCCCAGCACACAGTCAAGGAAGAGGCACTTTGTATAAAGCAGTGGTCCTCAAAGTGCATCCTCAGGATACGCAGAAATTCAGCACGTCGACACATCTATCTTCCTAATCACCCAAACGGGAGCTCTGGTGACCCAGTGGGTAAGAAGTTATGCTGCCAACTCAAAGGCAGGCTGCTGAATCTACCAGCTGTTCCTCAGGAGAAAGATGGGCAATCTCTTTCCATGGGATGCATGGCCTCTGAAACATGCTACAGAGTCAACTAACAGTCATTTTGACTTGATGGCAATGAGTTTTTTTAGAATACAGACTTCACTTATTGTGTTCCTTCACTTTTCATGCTTTCACAAGGGGGCAGTAGTTTTCCAAATGCTCATGCAGTGTTTTTGTTTGTTTGTTTACTTTTATTCTATTTGATACTGCAACAGGCAGAAAGTGGATGCAGGTGTGAGGATCCAGGGAGATTCTACTAAACCTCCTGAGTTGATTTTGACTCACGATGACTTTATACAACAGGACAGGACAGGACTGAAGGGATTCTGAACTGTAAATCACTGTGGAGCAGAAGGCTCCCAGGGAGGGCTGGTAGGGTCAAATCTGACCTTTCAGTCCCATGCTATAGCCACTGTACCAGGAGCTCCATAGGGCATTAAGTCAGAGGCTGTATTTGCAAAATACAAAGACAATCACACATTACATTTTTTTAAAGTGAGATTTTTAATTAAAAATAACTAAATTAGGATGCAATTATTTTTATTACTACATTTAAAATAAGTCTGTATTTTTATACTTTCTCAGGTTTAATATTAAATCCAGTATATACTGGCAGTTACGATATAAACAAAGTCTTAGGTGTCCTTGATACTCTTTAAGAGTGAAAAGAGTCCTGAGGTCAGAAAGTCCAACGTTCAAGGTAACAATGGAGGGAAAGTATTGTGTGAGCAGAGACACAAGGGGCGACTGCTGTGCACAGTCACTGCAGCAAGAGAATCTAGGCCAGGAGAAGAGCAAAGGCGTGAAGCCTAAAGGATGTGCAAACCTGGTCAAGCAAACGAGCAGTGGAGACAGTGTGAATGTTCTCAAAGCAAAGAGCAAAGGCTTAGAGGAGAGGAAATGGCACAGAAAAGGATCCCCACAGCTGCAGAAAACAGCACGTGGAAGGTTCCCCACAGCTGCAGAAAAGAGGGATGGGATTAGGAGCCAGGGGAAGAGGTGCGGCTAAAAAGTAGGGACCAGTGATGCAATCTACTGATCAACTTACTGTGTGAAAACCTGCTAGAGGGTCAGCTATGGGCCAGTTCTGACTCAATGGTATCAAACAACAACAGTTATCTGAAGGCCTTGAAACACATGCCAGTAAATTTACATTTCATTCTAGAAGCACAGAAAGCCCTTAGAAGGAAAAAATAATAGTTAACCATAGGTTTGACAAACCATTCTAGATGCAGTTGTGCAGACTGGATGAGGACAGAGCACAAAGTCATCAGACCAAACAGAAGTCAGTCAGAGGAGACCCTGGGAACAGCTAATGTTGGAATAGACTGCGCTAACAGGGAGCTCTGGTGGCCTAGTGGTAAAAAGCTGTGCTGCAATCTCAAAGGTTCTATCCAATCCACAATCTCCTCTCCTGTGATTAACTTCTTCTGAAAACCTGCTGGAAGCCAGTTATGTGTTGGTTCCAACTTGATGGTACTCAAGAACAACAGTGGCAACAGAGAGAGAACAACTGATTCAAGAGATATTCGTGATACTCAGCAGAGAATGGGCAGTATATGGTGACTGTTCTCAAGTAAGAAGTGAGGGATGCAGAGAAATTCAAGACGACATGGGCTTTTCTGGCTCAGAGGAGTAAATGCTATTCAGCGAGATGGTTGAAAGTTTCTAAAACTGTTAAGATGAGTTGTTTGTGGACATGCTGAGCTTATATAGAACAGTCAAGTCCAGTACACAGTTAGGTGTCCACCAAGGAGACTGAAAGCAAAGAAATCAAAGGGAAACAGGAGGAGAAAGGGGATGGTAGTCTACGAAAGAGAGTTCTGAGGAGGGATCAAATGGGGCCTGGGAGACAAGGGAGGAAATTACCAAACACATCCAGCAAGTTCAGCACCACAGTGTAGTCACTGGTGACCTGGGTGGTTCTAGGACCCTGTGGAAGGCAGACACCAAACAGAAGAGAACAGGCAAGGCACATATTCTTTGAATTCTCTGAATGGTCAGTTCTGAAAGGGAAGTTAGACATGGGATACCAAAGGGTGGGATTCCAGAAAAGGATGTAATGTTTCCATTTTCTACAATGTAAAAGATATAGGGGGTGTTTGCGTGCACGCGCGCGCACACACACACACACACACACACATACAAGACAGGTATTTTAAGACATCAATATGAACAAAATAACAGGGGAGGGGTAAAAAGATTAAAATATAAGCTACATAAACCCAATTGTTAATGACTTGAACCTCTCTCTGGATTTAAAAACCAAAAAAAACTTTCCCTTGATTTCTAAAGCTGTTAAATCTTTATAGGAGGTGACTGCTCATTGTTCTCCCACAGAACAGCTGATGGATTTGAACTGCTGACCTCTTGGTTAGCAAAACAGTATATAATGCACCATGCAATAGTGGAATAAAACTCTCTCACTGCTGCTGAGTTAATACTGCCTCATAGCTGACCCACCAACATTCAAAGGCTGTAATTCACAAAAGAGGAGAGAGCTCATCTTTCTACCAAAGAGCAGATGGTGAATCTGAAGCCCCTGCCTTTGGGTTGGCGGAAAAACTCCCTACCCACTAGGCCACGAGAGCTCTCCAAATAGAATAAAGAGTTGTTCTTATTTTTTGTGCACATTCCTAGACTTCTTATACTAGCTATAATGGTATTATTATGTACTGCTTTTATAAATCAGGAAAAAGCACATAAGTACTTTTAATTTTTGAGGAAAATAGGTATTATAAACTCTGTGT